TGGATACCAATGCGTGTGTGTGTATATATATGTATATATATATATATATATATATAAAACGAAAAAATGCTAAATATAATTTTTCAAAGAATTTGGTTGTTGAAAAAAGGAGAAAAAAATAAAAATGTTTGTCCAGGTCGAAAATGAATCTCCGGAAATACTAGTCAGAAGGCATACTTATAATATATATATATATATATATATATATATATATATATATATATATATATCATATGAATACCTTCTGACTAGTATTTCCGAAGATTCATTTTCGACCTGGATAAACATTTTTATTTTTTTCTCCTTTTTCCAACAACCAAATTCTTTGAAAAATTAAATTTAGCATTTTTTCGTAACTCTAAATAATGTGAGATAGTTAATTATTTAAAATAAACCATATTAAAAGTACTTTACAGGAAGACGTATATGAACATTTGGCATTCAAGCCTTGTAAAGTGACATCAATGGGGATAAGTCCTGATTGATATTGAAGACCACTTAATTACGCAACGATACACCGAGTTTAATAAAAATTGTTAGAGCCGTTTTTGAGAAATTTGTAAAAATGTGTTTCAGCGTTGATATAAAGTGGCACTTCCGGTTAGCCGATTGTAAGGAAAAAGTTGCTAGGACATCTAAGGCATTTAAATATCTTAAATACGTGATATCAGCTTCGTACGACTTTTCATTTTTAAGCTATACTGTTAACATACACACACAGACCATTTTGCGGATCTGGGTTATTTTGACTCAGGATACCTCAAAACGTGCATTTCCGTTGAAAACTCAGATTCGAAAATTTTCACGATCGCAATACTTTCCCTTACTGTACATTAAATATAAAGATAAGTGGAAGTAAAAAAGAAATATGTAACAAATAAGCCTGAAACTTCTAGCTTATACTAGCCCGCAATACTGCGCAGCAATGCGGGTTGCACATCAACGTGAAAGAAGGGGCGTCCTTTGTTGAACTTATTCTATCAGCAGGTATTACCCAAATATTATTACTAATAATAATAATCTCGTTTTTTTAATATTTAAAAGCTACATACTTATTTATTAATTAGTAACTACCATCAGTAAGTATGTAATTGCTAATTATTAACAATTAGTTGTATAAAATATTTGACATCAAATTCCATCATTCTTTATATTTATAAACAATTTAAGATATCACCTAAATATTATATTAAATTTTAGTTATTAATAAATATAATTTGAGCACAACAGGTCTGATTAAGCAGGAGAGCATCGTTCCATACAATAAAAATAATAGAAGAAAAATGACCCATAAAAAATAGGTATCCGTCTTTTCTAAACTAGTTCTGGAACATTGCACGGCAGCACAACTATGTTGGGTTACTATATGCTAAATAACTAAATACTCATCAATTAATAGATAGTACTGTATAAAAATAAAAAGAGAGTTAGGTCGGACCATTGGATACATATCAGACATGACGAGAACGGTCTATAGAATCAAAGAAGTGAAGGTCTAGATCAATATTTGTGGTGGTGGAGGATTACTAACGATTCTAAAATATTTTTTTTGTCATAGTCTGAGTCTATTCCCTTGCAACACCGAGCCTCTGCAAGAAATTACTTGCATTAAGAGAGAGGATTCTCCTGTTTCCGAACCATAACCCTTTAACTGAGTATTCTACCTAGCAGATGATCTCTGTACTTTTCATTCAGATAAGGTGTTTCGTATATATTTCTTCTTTCTCTGCCCGTACCTTGAAGTCCCGATCGTTGGTTTCAAATCTGATCGTGGGATCCTCTAAGAGTTCCTCCTTCTCCATCGCATTGAACGCCAAGAAATCGATGAACCATGTTGAGTCCTCTGTATCCAGGCAATAAACTTAGAGGAAACATTTATAGCTATTCATTTCAAGAAATTCGGCTGCATGATGCTGTATTTTATAGCATGTGAGAAATATGATAATATAAGTAATAATAATGACGTGTATTATTATTTATCCATACGCAAAACATCATCTCTAACATTATTTAAATACCAACTACTTCTCTATCTTCTTAACCATCAATCTTCCGAAGTAAGAATGATGCTTAGTGATATCAAGATGCGTTTAGACATTTCACAAACTATGGGAAACACAATTATGTAACTTGACTAACAGCGAAATTATTCCTAAACCAAACATTTTTTTTTATTTCCCTTGTTACCGACAGGACAAATGGAAAACATTTAAAACATTTGCAAAATTAAATAACCGTTTATACATTTGTTTGTCACATAGTTTGTGAAATGTCTAAATGCACCCTTAGAGGTACCTGTAAATTATTTAACTCTGATCATTTAAATTGCTTGTAAGGACAAATTAGCAAACATATATATAGTTAATTAGTGTACGTTATATAGTACTAGTTTAGTTCAGCATGTGGAAATAATAAACACAGAAGTAAGTCCTTGAAAGGACAAGCAGATAGTGTATCGCTCTATGGCCTACGTTCCGCAAGTTAACTTCGTTAATGGTTCACACACTTTTCTTAGTCATAATTGTGGTAGTCTCTACGTAGCCCATTATTTCAAGGGCAAAAGTAGATGTACTTCTCGCTAAGATGAGGATGAAATTATATTGCATGTGTTTAATACATATATTTTTATATGAATTTGTAAAGGAATAGTGATAGTTATTGAATGAGGCGACTAATACCTATGTTGTACTAGTTGTCATTTCATGGATAGTAATTGCTTATGGAGATCCCAAAAAAAAAATTTAGCATTCGGTGAGTTTATTAAAAAATGAAATTAGACTAAATCATGACATAAAATTTACTCTTCGAAGAAATACCTGACCTCCAGTTTATACTGACAATAACCTAGTTAACAATCTTTAAAATCTTTCTACGACAATGTTTACATTTGGAACTTGAAAAAACGAAGAGGTTCTGTGGAGTGAACAGTTTTCTGCAATGTAGTTTTGTTATCGTTCCGGTGAACTATTTTTTTTCTTTTTTAATGAAATCTATAATGGCTGGCTAGTCTATTAAAAAAAAAACCTTATACTCTTGAGTCCGATTGAGTGGGTTTTATCTCAGTGAGACTCACCAGCTACAGTCTGCAACAAAGTATAGTGAAGCTTCCGGTGTCAGCCCGCATAAGTGACGGGGTTTATCATTAACCATCCCACAAGCCTTTATACGTCATTCGAGTCTGATGTGATCTGCTAATACTATAACAATCGATGGAGTTCCATTCTTTAGAGCTTTAGCAGCCAATTGATTCAAGATAAGGTTGTAATTAGGTTATAAAATATATATATATATATATATATATATATATCCCAAAACAAAATTATAATAAAAAAATATAGGAAAAAAAATTATAATAAAAAAATATATATAGATTAAAAAAAAAATTGTATACTATGCTCATAAATATTGTTAATACTATATAATTTTATATTAGTTTTGGTAAATTGTCTGTAGCGATTAATAAGTATGCTGTGTTTAAAGCAACCCAATGTAATTGGGCAGCACCCTTTCATGATAATAAAGTGATTCTCTCTTCTACAAGATCTCCTTAGTTAGCAAATAGTTCACGATGTAGAGTCAAATGCATCCGTTCCACTAAAGTTAAAAAAAAGACCTAAAATCAGAGATAGAGTAGCGTATTACAAGCGTAAAAAGAGCTTCCTTCACTCTTTCAAGAGTACTGAAATCTCAAAAAAATTCTAGAAATAAAAGGTGTACAATTCTAGGATAGAGTAAATGCTGATGTACGCTAACTGGACTCTAGCCAGCAGCCTAGAAAGAAGAATTGAAATATTTGATAAGAATGTCCTTTACATGATAACCGAAGAGCTTTGGGATTAGAATAGTAACAGATTGGGGAATTAGTATTTTTTTTACAGAATTTACGGAATTAATATATTTTAAAGAATTGTTTACAGAAACCAGGCAATAATTGTTTCTGTTACGTTATTCAATATTTTCTGTTACGTTAAGGAATGATGATGATGTATTAATACATTAACCAACATTTATTAATAAATAAATAATATATTATTAATATATAAAGAATATTGTCAGGTTCAGCTTTCTGTTTTCTCAACAGAAACACAAGGCTTATTTTAATGAAGAATTTAATATATTTTTATTTTTTAATTCTTTATTATTTTCATAAAAGTTTATACTGGCCTATCAGTGCAAATAGCTTTAAGTGTCTTGTCATAGTGTTAATTGTTTTGTATATGGTTTCGTTTGTTTTGTATATGGAATGTTTATATTATATTTTCTTTACATTATTTCTTTTTTACTATTGATTTTATTTTGGCCAGATGCAATTTTTTAATTCTGTTCTATTTTGTTATTGTCAAGGGGCTGTGTCCCAGAATAAAGTTATTTTCTATCTATCTAAAAATAAAATGACTATCTCATAATACGAAGGTAATGAAGTTAAGCTGAGCGGGACACGCAGTACGAAGCAATCTATCAGGAAGTCTATAATACTACAGTAAAAGGCAAAAAGAAGGTGTGGGAGAACAAAATTCAGGTCGTTACACAGAACCAACGAAGATGCAATTGAGATGCATGGAACAGTAAAGCAGTAGCTCAAGAAAAATGGGGATGGAGAAGGCTAGTTAATACTGCTCAAGATCATCAGTTCTTGCTATGATGGCTAAAAAGCTAACAAAACTAAAGAAAAGATATTCTAAAAAGATACTACAGCTAGAATATGTTCAAGCTTGAGAAAAAATACAACAGAAGTCTTACGGACTTAAAGATTACGAACAGACAAAAAAAAGGAGGGGTTGATAAAATTACAAGATTTATTTTCTGATTTTATAATAGCCAGTATTAAGGTTATAGTTTCACGGGAAATACATATTTTCACAATCTATAATAAGTTTTCTGTAGAAGTGGAAGCAGCTCAAACTACAATTGGTTGACCTAATTCCAACGAGACACTTAGTTACATAAAACTCAACTTCAAGAAGTAGTAAAGTAACAGGAACAAAAACCGAAAGCTATAACTAAGCTGATGGCAAAGCGAAAGCTGAGGTTCCAAAGAGCAGACCACAAATATACTTTAGAGCAACAGCGCCAATTACAATTATCCCAGGTGTTGCAGAGAAGGAAGTGGTAGAGACAGCCATTACCCCGCTGAAGACATCATCACTGCTAGAGGCTCCCCGACATGTGGAGTACGTAACGTTTCTCCATTTCACGCCGTATCGATTATTTACCGTTCCGATTGTTCGATAGGACAATACGACTGCAGGCTGGTTCGTTGCTCTTCTCCGTCGGTGTAAACGGTCTCGACTCCATGGAGGCAGCAGTCGGAAATATCTGTACCGGAACCACTGAGTCTGACGAGAATGGTAAAGCTTCAACTTTAAAACAATAATTATTTGTTGTATTTAACTAACTAAAAAATGTTTAACGACAATTAATAGTATTCCATAGTATCCCCAGTTCAACAAAAATGGAGAATTAGACATATTTTTCGAAAATTCTATTATTCTGAACGGTCTAATTGGCAATTGTTTGAATTAAAACTGAACCAAATATTTCGGATAAAAATATTAGAAAAAGCCAATTTTAATTATTCCTGGATTGTATACATTATGGATAAGGAAGAACCTTCACATGCATAGAAATATGACTGAATACAAGAAAAGATGTGGAATCACTAATGGATTTGTTGAAACTAACAGGATTTTATCACAGAGTATAAATAAACATAAGCGAGGAAAGGATTGACAATGATCCTACCGTGTACAGGCAAATTCAACAATTATAAATGAATTGTTCGTACTCTATCCAAGGTGATCTAATGTTAAGAACAAGTGTTATAGGAAACCTTGGGGGTTTTTTCATTTTTTTTTTTTTTTAGTTGTGCCTGCTGCATTGCGAGAAATAAAAAAAAATCAATAAATTTTTTTTTTGAAATGTTAGTTGCGGATGTATGATGCATTCGTTATCTGCATTGACATTTGGGATTAATCACTTTCTTTAATTTTTTTATAATTTTAATCATTTTTTATATTTATCATCTTAAATATTAATTAAATGTATTGGATTAGGCCAAGGACAAAAGGATTTCCATTAACCCATAGAAAGGACAGTTGTCTCCTTCCTTCACAGAAACTTCGTGAGTATCAAGAAAACCTCTTACCACTTTTGAGATTATACGACAAAGGATGCATCGTTCTGCAATACCCAATGTCAAATCTAGATCCTGGGTTTGAGACCAAATTCTTAATCCACTCCTTCTATTGGGGATACCCCGAACAGCCGTTCTCGTTTCTCTGAGTAAAACCATTTGAGTAAATATTATCAAACTGCCGTTATAGACTAGGAAAGAATGAAATCCAATGAATATACGTTTCCCTCACATATACCAAATGACCGCAGCGACCACGGAGCTGTCGAAACCTGTACCGCTATTAACTGCTACCGCGGGCCTGTCACTGCTATTATCTACTTGGATTGTATCGATATCAGGCCACGGCGAACACCTCGTCTCTTAAAGGTTATCTCAGATAACTCCCAAAGGCTGTTATTTCGTTGATTAAACAGAAGTTATTTAACTTTACAGGTTGCGTCATTGCTTCACCACCCTTTAGAATTGTGAATTGGTGGCCGTGACATTCTCCATTGCGTTCGGCTAGTTGTTCTGATTCATAAGAGAACGCAATGGAAAAAAAAATAAATAAATGAAGTAATTTTTGAAATCTGAGAATAGCGGATCGAAACTATCCAGAATAAAAAACGTTACAGAATTATACCTTTAAAAAAAAAAAATTAATGGTTCCAAAGTAAATCGGCAGAACACGCAAGATAATTATAAATGCTAAGAAAAACAAAAAACTATATTGACTTAAACTAAAAAAATATTGTTCATCACAATATTGTTTTTTAAAATTTGTTTATTGAAATATTACTGTCCCGATCAAGGACATTTATAAAAGACTTCAGAGATCACAATCTCAACATACTTACAGAAGCACAAACAAATAAAGTAGCATATATTACATACAAAAAAGAGCAAAATAAAATATAAGGTGAAAAAAAAATGTACTTCAAAAATTAAAATCTTAGAAATAGACGTACTTATATACACTATTTACAATCAGTCAGAGAAACTCCGAATCAACCTTGTTCCCCTCTTCTGGAGGGAAAAGCGAGGTTATAGTTGATCCCAGCGCTTCTCTCTCAATCACATCAATGGTATTAAAAGCCTGGACTAAGAATAAAGATAAAATTCGTAAGATAGTAAAACATAAAAATCTATTTTATATTATATTATAACTAAGCCAAATAAATTACCGAATTGAGTAGGTGCATCTTGAAATAATGTAGCAAAGCTTATCGTTTGTATATGTTTATGCCAGATTGTGTTAAATTCGTTATAAAATTATATTATCGTAAGAAAGATGATATTCTATTAAATAAAAAATTAAAGATACAGGTGTTTATGTGCGAAAAAATCAAATTCCTTTTTTCCCTTAATATTAATCCTTTATTACTATTTTCAAGTACATTTCAGCAAAGAAACAAGGTGGTTGCAATTCCTTTAATTTCTCAGGGAATATTAAAAATGATTCACAATTTACTTTTTGCCTTCTAATCTCATAACTCCTTTACTCACAAATATAAACTTATATTTTAAGGAATCGGTTGTCCAGAACACAAATGCAAACAAAATAAATTATATCTAATCCTAAATCCTAAGGCTTGAATTTGATATGTGAAAAACAACATTTTTGTTGGATCCAAATTCAAGATGTACTCATAATTAAAAAAAAAAATGAAATTTCGATACCACTAATGGTTAAAGGTGGCTGTTAGACAGAAGAGGTTACCTGCTAGCATGCAACAGTTTACACCAGTAAACCTCTATTTTAACTCACCAGTAAACAATCATTATAATACAGAATGTTAAGGTAATGGTTAATTATTGCACATTTTTTAATATTTATTAAAAACATTAAAATGTTTCATTCTGTGTCATCCAATGTGACCAAGGATTCATAAAGTTATTCTCCTCTACTCAACTTCTTCAAAAGATTTTTTGTTCGATGAAGACTATCATAAATAGTAAAATTGTAATTTGTAAAACCTAAACATGTTATAAGTATAACATAGTGCCCATTTAACTCGAGGTTTTCGGCAAGAATTATGGAATATCTCGAAAAGTGTACATTTGGGATTTATTTATTTAATGAAATTTACAACTGTAAAAACAATGCAACTAGTAAAAATGCACACATTAGAAATCATGCCATAAACAGACTTGACGAGATACTGCCTAGTGGTAGCACTAACTATTTAATTCTAGATAAGAAGATCGTGAGGCCTTCTTCTTTTCAGACGCCTAGGGGAATTATCAGGAATCGAGGAAGAAGCAAGGCTGGAAACAAGTGGATTTGGATGGGACTGGAGTTGAATGAAACATGAAAGGATAGGTATCTGACTCGGGTTAAATCAGCGGCATATAGGTCATTAAGGTTTTTATGAATGGTTTTATTTGTGACAAAATATGGGGCATTAAGGATTTTACGAAGGATTTTGGATTGTAAGGATGGGATACGATAGGAGTTCGATGGTTTGATAGAGCCCTAAAGTTCAATTCCGTATGTCCAGGTCTTATTATGGTTAAGTAGATGAGTCTTTTGTAATTAATTGAAAGTTTAGAGCGTTTGTCTAGTAAGTGTTGGAGCAGTCGGCAACGACGATTTTGGGATTTAAAAACGCATGACCCGATATATTGGTCTTGAAATTCGCGTCGAATTCCTTAAAACAAAATTTATCCCGTCTTGATCAGACGACTTAAAACCATCTGAGCCCTGTTTAAAACCTCCCAATTGTTTTTAATAATTTATTAAATTTGTAGGAATTTAAAGTTCCAAATCGAGATTCCGAATCGAGATTTGACCTCACTCGTCAAAATTCATCGCTCCTGAGAGCCAGAAAAGGGATCTCTACCACCGTATCATATATCGTTACCACAATATATATATATATATATATATATATATATAATATATATATATATATATATATATATATATATATATTATATATATATATATATATATATATATACTGACATGGCTGTATCCTTAACAATAGGTTGAATCAAGTAATTTCTGGTTACGTTAATGGATAAATAACATTTTGAATGAAAAAAAAAAGAATCAGTGATATATCAATCCATATTTGCTCCCACACTAACATCCAACACAAAGTAATGTTACAACCTTGGAAAGGAATCGATACACTTTGTAATAAATGATTATCGTAACAGCTAATAACTACGAGACAGGAAACGGTTATTGACATCGATCAGAAAACGGATAGCACTATGCTAATGATCACGGAGGCTTGGTGAGGTTTATGGACAGCGGACTGAGGCCATGATGTCACCACGGCTAAGGCAATATTTATCAAAGGTTTGACTGCTGTGCGAGCTGGCATCTTTACTGCTGTCAGGGGGCTCTCCTTCTAGGGGCCCTCTGTCGATAAATCGTGAGGTTCATTGTCAGCAGGCGTTGGCCGTTGACCAACTGAAGTGGTAGCATGGGTGTTTATGGCAGTTAGAAGTAAGAAAGTGCATGTGCATCGGTCGTAAAGTATATTTAGAGATGTAAGGCGTGAGGGAGAGTCGGCTGGTAACCTTAGGCTCCCAAGTGGGCAATGCAACTATAAATAGTTCACTTGATCGTCCTAAAATGAAAAAATCGGTATATTCTTAAGATATTAGATAATTGTCTGTAACATGATACATTGAAGAGAATTTGGTTGGACAGCCAATGGAAGTACAAATAAAAAAAAAAAAATTATTTATTTGTTTTTTGCCGATTTTTCGGCCGAAATTTCAGACCTTCATCAGGGCTAAGCTAAGACAAGATAACATATAAATATTGAGAAAATAGTAGACAATCAGATCAGCGCTGAGCACAAACAAAACTCTAATATTAATAATAAAAAATTCATTCCCAGAATCGTCAACTAATGAATGAATTAAATATCCAACCGTAGAAAAATTTGTTAAGGAACAATTCAACTTCATTAGGGGTAAGAAAACGGTCGACATATGTCATTTTTATTAATTATAAAACAGTATACATGATTCAAACTCGATATCCTTCTTGCAGTCTTAGAACTTATAAGATTATAATCAACTAACCAAAGTTGGTATGTCTTCGATTCTTAGCATCGCTTGAAGTTCACCGGAAGACACAAAAAAATTAATAATGATGTAGAGTTGGTTGACCGTTGATATGATATGAGAAGGAATTAGTCGAGGGTGCGGTCAAAAAAATAAAAAAATTAAAATATATAAATAATTTTAATTTTTGCCGACGTTTCGACCCACTTTGCAGGTCGTCTTCAGGGCTACAAAAGATACAAACATGTTGAAAAAAATAAAAATAAAATAAAAAATAAATATAAGTATATATAAATTACGAAGAAGTTGTCAGATACAGAAATAAAAGATAAAGAAAATAAATACATGATAAGAAAATAGATAAAAGAAAATAAATACATGAATGTTAACGAATAAATGAATGTTAACGAATAAATTGATTGAAAATTGAATAACTATTGTTACAGTAAAGTTAAAATATATTTAAACTAACTAAGTTAAATTAAAATATATTTTAACTTTACTGTAACAATAGTTATTCAATTTTCAATCAATTTATTCGTTAACATTCATTTATTCGTTAACATTCATGTATTTATTTTCTTTTATCTATTTTCTTATCATGTATTTATTTTCTTTATCTTTTATTTCTGTATCTGACAACTTCTTCGTAATTTATATATACTTATATTTATTTTTTATTTTATTTTTATTTTTTTCAACATGTTTGTATCTTTTGTAGCCCTGAAGACGACCTGCAAAGTGGGTCGAAACGTCGGCAAAAATTAAAATTATTTATATATTTTAATTTTTTTATTTTTTTGACCGCACCCTCGACTAATTCCTTCTCAAAAAAATTAATAGAAGATGTGAAAAAGGCTATTGTTCATTTTTCAACCGAAGTAATTTACTGAATCAACCAACCAGCAAAAGACAGTTTTAAAAAAAAAATGTAATATATTTATAAAAAGTCAAAAAATAAATTAGCTTCAAAAAAATATAATTATAAATTTATGTATGAGCTTATAAATTAACTTGTACTAATGAAAATAAATTACACATACATTTTCACATTAATTATTATGTATTGTGCTTAATATATTTATGTATATATGTAACTAAATAATGGGTAAGTTATCAGCAGAAAAGTAGAAAAACTAAGTTTTGTGTTTTTTAAAGCAAAACATAGCACATATTTACATATTAATGTTTTTTGTTGAATAGGAAGCAGTAAATAAGGAAATATTTAATTTAAGTGATTAACGATTACTTCACTGTAAAATAGACAAAATTTACCTCAAAGAAAGAATTTGTCGTTGTTTAAAGAATTTAAAGATGACTTTGAACGGCTAAACTAAGCTCAGTTCTGTTTTAAAAAAAGTCATATATTAATCATGATTTTCTTTTATCATCATACTGCAAATACCCTATTTTTAGAAAAAATAGCGTTTAATTACCTGTATGTTCATATTAATTAAGTGTAGTTTTATAAAGCTAAAAATTTAGAGTCACCTCAAGTAAAAACTTTCTCCTACTTTCGGGGTACCCTCTATGTATATGTATATACAGCTTTATTATTAATTTAAAAATACAATTGATAAAAATAGTACTTATATACAAATTAATTATTATTCCACCAATATACATTGCAAAAAGAAATCTATTTTTCTGTTCGCTTAACCTAAGGATGAGTTCAAAATTAATTCTGTTGAAGTATGCTCCGTTCAAAATATACTAAAGCAAGTATATACAATTTATACTTCAATATACAGTAAATAAAAATGAGGAAGCTATAATATAAGTGGATAATATAATAATACCAGGAAGAAGACGAGCAGACAAGTAATAAACGATAGGCTGTGGGTGGACAATGCCGTAAAGACTGAAGGCAGTCATGCATTGTTTATAGATGTCTAGGTATCCTTAATGATCCAAGGTTTTTCTGTCTGGGATTTTGTTTCTTACCTAAGGAGTGATGGGGTGGATTAACCATACTCTACTTTTTATTTATTGAGTAACATAACATTCTGTCATATGGGCAATGATTATAGTGAGGTACATTACTACATTCACACAATATATACAAAACATATAAAATAAAAAGAAGCAAAATAGCAACTAAATAATAATCCAAAATTATATACATTAAATATAAATAAAATAACATAAAGATAAGTAAATTAACAAAAAAAAAAACAGACACCTTTATACACTATGCTCTACTTAAAAAAACAACAACACCAAAACGGAATGCCATGATAGAAATTTATCATTATCTAATTAATAAAAAAATTGTATGAAAGGAATACATATAATAAAATTGCCTCCAACATCCCATAATCTGAAATTATAAATTAAACCTAACAAAGCAATTCAATGATAAATCTGGTGTAACAACGTCAGTTAAAATAAGTTTATTAAAGCCAAAAAGAATAAGGAAAATAATTATATGGCGGTATCTCGAGCCGATGTTTTGTTACCATTGTGTATCGTTTAATTAAGACATTTGGTTCTAAATATAAATATTAACAAATATACAATATAATTATAAGGCAATAAAGGAATTTTAAATATAGTTACAATGTTTAGTACAATTAAGTTTTTTCAAATGGGAAACTTGGGAAAACTGAAATATTGATAATTACGAAGGTTATAAACAAAATAATAAATTATATTCTTAGTATTTTGAGTATAGTGTCAGAACAAAAAGAAACAATAGTCTATATGATTTTTGTACATAATTTCTTTGGTAATTATTAATTATTGAACCTCGTTTTATTTATTTATTTTTATTTTATATTTTTAGGGGAATTGAAAGAGAGGGAGAAAGATTAAAATAAAAATGGTTAATTTTGAAGAAAAACAAATGTGTTTTCAAGAGAGATTCCACTTAAGCCATTAAGTTTGCCTAACTAAGTTTTCCCACATCCTAATGAAGTTCCAGACAATAATTTTAGAGAAGCAAGGTATACCTCCAAAGTATATTAAAAACAAATAATAAAATTAAACAAAAATAGAGTTTTTTTTAGTGAAAACTCCTTTAAGCGGGTTTTGCACATTTTGTGGAGAGTGAAATTGTATATTGTCGCGACTCCATGTTAGAGAGGTGAAAAGGAAAATAAATAGTGTCTAAAACCAAAAGCTCAAGAGTTTTATGGAAGATATAGATTAAAACATCTTAGAAACTAAAAATTGGATCTGCATACTGTAAGTGAGGAAAATGTTCAGCATTTCATCATCTTTATTTACAAGTTATTTTTTATTTATGTTATTATTTATAATTTATGTTTCATATTATTAATCTCGTCTTGTTGATGTTTTCAGTTATATCGTGTGGTCTAAAGCCCACAACTTAGTTGTTTTTTTAAATTTTACTAATTGTAAAATGCTGACTTGCAGTTTATCTCATGACAATGCTTTGTCTATCTAATATTTTTAAAAACATTGATACACTAAGGCAAGGGCATTTGTTCAATTTTCCCTTCGAAGGGACCGACTAGCTCGACCCACGTCGATAGGGCTTCATAATGCAGGTACCCACCCGATTTTCATCGGTTCGATGAAAACCCTGTAGTTTGAAGTGTCGGTAATTGTCACGTCGTGTAACAACAGTAAAAAAAAAATCGACGATCTTGGCTCAACACATTATTACTTATAACTACTCTACTATACCGGATAAGATTCATTACAAACTCAAGTGTAATATTATCTAATTTAAAACAAAGACGGCCCATATTGTTAAAATAGTTTGTCACGTAAAATATAATAGAAAACAAACATTATTCTGGGGCTAGGTCCTTAATAAAATAAGAAATAGTAGGATTAAAAAATATTACTGACGAAAAACATTAATAAGGTTCAAACAATATGTACATTTTCAACATTAAAAATATCCACAAGAAATTTAAAAACATCATTTTGAGAATACAAATTCTTGTCTTCGGGGTAAAAAAATCAATGCAAAACTATAGTTCACTTCAAATCAATAATTTATTCTTAATTTTTTTTTAATTCAAACCTTTCTTTGAATATTCTGTCACGAATAGATTAGTAAATACTGATCCTGGAGTTCATTCACATCGTATGTACAATAAATAAAAGTAAATTAAATAGAACAACAATACTGAAAATAATTATATACGTACAAAAATAAAAATAATAATGTAGTCCACTCTTTTACTACCATAATTCAACAAGCTGTCTAGACTACTTCCTTCCAAAAGATTTTCCAAGAATTTCTAAAAAAATCATCTACCGCAATACCTTCTAGATCTAATCCATATCATAGACATGCCATATCATTAAGGCAATGTAGCACACATCCCACTGATCGCCGCTCCTATAATTAATATTTCATAAAACTAAAGCGAGATTAGCCATCAATAGATCGGAATCCTTTAACTACTATCTTCCTCTCTGCTCGAGATAATTTCCTTAGGAAACGGATATAAAAATTCTAAAACCTCACCAAATTTAAAATCTTCTGTTTGAGATGCGAGAAAGAAATGGAAAAAGAAGGATTTGAATGAAGAAATGGAAGGAGCAAGACGGATATTAGTGGAATGGTAAGAATGGAATATTAGAAGGTTTTAGTTTTGTGGGATGGGGTATAGAATTCTGAATAACCAGATCCAGTTTTCTGAGAGAGGGTCAAAGGTATGACTTGTAGAAGTAGGGAGACTGAAACCACAAGAAACTTCTCGGCGTTTCTGGCTGCACCAACACTTACTACATAAACACTCTAAATTTTCAATTAACTATAAAAAACTCATTTATATGACTATAATAAGACCTATATGCACATACGGAGTTGAACTTTGGGGTTCTACCAAACTATCGAATTCCTATAGTATCCAATCCTTACAATCCAAAATCCTTAATGTCCCATATCTTGTCACAAATAAAATCATTCATAAAGACTTTGATGTTCCATATGTCACTGATTAAGCCCAAGCAAGATATATATCCGTTCATGATAAACTCCAGTTCCATCCGCTTGTTTCTAGCTTCGATTTTTCCTCAATTCCTGATAATGCTTCCAGGAGTCTGAAAAGTAGATGGCCTCGCGATCTTCTTACTTAAACTTATTTAGGGAGTGCTATCATTGGATAGTGTCTCCACAAGTCTGTTCATGTCATTACTCTTGATTCGCTTTTATATACTAGTTGTTTTTATTTAGTACAGTTGTAAATTTTAATAAATAAATTTTAGAAAAAGAAGCAGGAAGGGTGCCGGGAAAGAAAACACGCGAGTCAAGCATAGTAGAACATTCACAAGCTCGTTTGGGTATTGCGTAAACGCGTCTTAAAATTTTTTATGGTATTTCTCAACCCAACACTTGCTGATATTTTTTTCCACAATAATTTACCAAATTTCACTTCACCGCTGAAAGGTCTTACTTAAGCTGGAAGGTAACGTTTCCTGAGCGAGTGGGCGTACCCTACACACCGCAGCCAGGCGCAGGTGGTGTAACTTACACAGCCCTTATCTCCCGTCCTCGATCTCTGCCACGGCGGGCCGCCCAGGTAACCCGCGGATTCGCCAGTGAGCTCTCGTGGGCGAGCGGCTGTTAGGAAACTTCTCGGCTGCATTAGTCATCCCCGACTGATGGATGGTTCTCTTCTACTGATATCGCGCGTTCTAGGAAAATCGTCAGCACAACAAAACATTTTTTTAATCTCCTTCCATCATTCTGTAACCATGTACGATGTCCGAGTATTAGTTATTTTTTTATAAAATATATATGTTATTATTAAAATAAACATACAGCTGAACTATAAACCCATAAGGCTTTAACATACAGATGATAGTAAACCTGCAAAAGTTTCGCCGATTCCGGCAAAATCAGGACAGAAAAAAACAAGATCACAGAAATGCAGAAAAAAAGGGGGGAGAAAATGATGAAAACTAATAAGAATTATAAATAACATTAAATGAAAACAAAATTAATGCACAACATTTTTTTAAATATGTCTAAAAATGTTTTTTTTCACAATTATACAAAGAAGATAATTCAGGAGATTTCAATTCATAATAACAGGACAAGATTTTAAGAACTACGGAGTAATCTGACTTCTTTCAGCATTTTGTAACATACACTGGTCCATTCAACCAGCCACATTCATATACATACAAGTGCAAGTACACTGAAGAAAATAACCATGATCAACAATGTTGATTTACGCGGGACCGATGCACTATTTATATATTTTCCTTTAAAAATTTAGAATACAAACATTCAATCCACCAATTTCGCACCAGTTTCAAAAAGGCTTAAATGATTGTTATTTTTTTTTATATTCACGAAATTTAGAATTGTATCAAAAAAAAAAAAAAAAAAATAGTAAATATATAACGACATAAAAGACTTGTAGACAAACTACCCATCAGTGGCACTCTACGTGATTATTTTAAATCAAAGTATGAAACGCCGTAAGGCGCAGTGTTGACAATGAAAATATTCCATTATTGGCTACGACAAAATATACTCCTAATATACTCCAGACACAGCGGAGATTTCTTTGAAGTTCTCTACCGAAAACGCTACTTTGATCCTGACCGATCCTTGACAGGGCACTTGACTATAAGTACTCAATGGCTACCAGACAGTAAACTGATACAGATACTTGATACTGATTCACAGATACCGATACTGACGGCCGATAAGGAGGGGTCCTGCCTATCATCATTACACAGCTATTGTCCCTTCCTCAACTGATTCCATTCAGCCTTTTCTATAAATCAATTGAGCCATGATGCATTGCCTCCGCACTACTGGGCGTGGTTATTTCAAAAGCACCATTAACCTATCAACGATTGTTATCACTATCAATCTTCAACTTTTTAGTCACGGTTCTAACCAACATGAAAGTAAACTGAGGGGGAATATTATAATAAGAAAAACTATTCAACCCCAGAGAACTTATTGGTAGCTATCCTCCTACCAAATGATTTAGTAGTATCATTATTCGTAGTATAAGCAACACCAACGAACAATATCAATTCATTGTATACATTATTAATATTAACAAGTTGGTTTGTACAACACACACAAACGGTAAAGCTTCACACGTTACAATAACTATTAAAATCACAAATTACTTGATAAACGATTAACTTGCCCCACTGGAAAATATCGCATCAGTTTTATTTATTTTTTTATTATTATTATCTATACGATATTAAAAACAGTATAAAAAAGTACATCTAGTAAATTCGTACATGGATATAATGACATGAAACATATATTGAGAAATCACCCCCAGGTAGCACTCTAATAATATGCCTATATTAGAAGATCACGGGGCCATCTTCTTTTTGGACGCCTAGGAGTGAGGAGGAATTGAATAGGAAGCAAGGTTAGAAACAAGAGGGTTGGGATGGTTATGAAGTTTGTTATGGAAGGACAGGTATCTGGATTGGGCCAAATTTGAAACATAAGGTACATTAAGGTCATTGTGGATGATTTTATTTGCAACAAAGTAAGGAGGGTTGAGGATTTTGGATTGTAAGGATTGGATACGAGAGGAATTTGAAGGTTTGGTGGAGCTCCTTAGCTCAACTCCGTAAGTCCAAATAGGCCTTATAGTCATGTATATGATTCTTTTGTAATTAATTGGAAGGTTAGAGCGTTTGTCTAGTAAGTGCTGAAGTAGTCGGAAACGTCGAGCGTTTTCTTGTCGTTTCAGTCTGGTTTGAATCCCATCAGTTAAATAATTAAGGAATAATACACAGCTATCACTGATTTTATATTAACCCATTATTGTACTTGCTCAAGACCTGTTTGTTTGGTGCAAAAGAGTCTTGACCTGTAGTTCTCTCAATTAGTACAAATATAGAAGTCAATTACTGCGAACATAGAAGTAATGCTTGGATTTTTTTTTTTTTTTTTTAAATAAAAGTATCAAAACACATCTATATTCTATATTATCTGAAGTAGCCAAGGAACCATACAACTATTCTCCCCTTATCATTATACCATTATAATTATCTTATAAATAGCTATATTTTAATGTACCTAAGCAAAAAATAATAAGTAAAGTATTCCATGAGAACCTTAGCACCTAAGATGCGCTACCGAAATAATTACAATTTATCGTGAAATTAGAATAAATTTTAGAATTTAAAAGCCCACCTCTTGATGAGCGCATCGAAATCTTGAAATAATTTATCTCTCCTCGATTCTCCACTTTTGATACCACCGAAGTTTGGAAAACTCACAATTTCTCAATTACTTTTATTAAAATAGTTACAGGGATTTAATGATCGAAATTTGGATTTGTCAATTCTAGAAATTCTCGATTGATAGGTCATTCATCAAAATCCATTGCTTCTGAGAGCTGGAAAAGAATTATATACTGAAGTATTATACATATAGAGTAGATAGTACTTTCATATATCCACTATACTAATAACATTATTATTTTTTTAATGTTATCATTTTTATTTTGTTTGGCTTAATTACATAATAAAAAACATGTGAGAGCCCATTAGATAAGAAGGTCATCATAAGAAATCGATAAGGGCAATCTGGCTCCAGTTACTGATGCATGGAGGAGTTATCAGTTTGGATTCAGGAGGACATTAACCACACTTTGTCTCCAGCAAGATCTAAGATGCAGCTGTGTTCCAGCTAATTCAAACAAATAGAACACCGTATTACATACAGTGTATCCAGATGGAAAGGGTTACAACTAGCAATTGTCAACTTATAGCTATCCAACCTAGCAACTCTTAAATATTAGACTAAGGCAATCGATTCGGAACCTATTGCGAAATAGTAAAAAATCTCAGTATTTGGTCCATATTATCCAAAGACCCGAACGTTCTTAAATTTGGTAGCTGTAGTACACGCGTTAATTTAAAAACAGAACATATTGGCTGAGATCACTATTATTATTATTTTGCTTCTTTTTTGGAGAATAGTTGGAAAGATAGGCTACAGCCCGAAAGCTTGGATCCACCAGTGGTCCAAAAGATAGAGTCAGAAGAAAAGAAAAGGAATAAAAAACTGTAATGCAGTTCATTTGGACCATACATTTTCCAAAACAGGAAAAGAACCTGTGTCTATTTTAGGGCGAATCCCTAACCAACTTTTATAGAGTATTCATTTGTGTTTAGAGTATTCATACAATAGTGAGCTCCCATTCCATTGTGTTAAATATTAATTTTTAATAAAATATGATTATTATAAAGAAGAAAACTAAGCGTCAAAAGACGATTTTAAATAATCTTGTTCTGAAGATAAATTAATCAGAGGATATAAGGTTGATAATAATTTTGACGAGAGGAATCACTATTGGGTCGAAGACATAGAAACTACAAGCCGATATGGTCAAAATTACCGAAAATCCCATCCAGGAATATAGTCATACATTAAACTGGATAATATATAAAATATAACTAGTGAACACTTAATAATTTACTAATTAAATGATATTAAAATAAACAAATGCTGTAATCAAAGGAAAAGGAAAGCGATAATAATCAGACAGTGGGTGTTTGACAATGGTATATATTTCCTACTGATAAATGCGATAAAGGCTGTTTGGCCTTAAATGCACTTTTAAGAGAGTGAGGTTTAACTAGCATAAACTTATTTTCTAGAATTATCATCCGTAATTTCAATTAATATTTATATATATATATATATATATATATATATATATATATATATATATATAAGTTAAGCGTCGTCGGACTTAAGAAATAAAAAAAAAGAAGGAAAAGGGAAAAGATGTAACATACACGACTTCTGAAATAACACTGCTTTATTCGTTCCATAAGCCTCCTTATATACACTTAGCCTGTTTATTTACATTACCAGATAGTATTAAGGCTGATACCGCCAGTCTCCGGTCTTTATCTCCCCCCCACCAGTTTACGAACAGGATTTTCGGAAACTTAAATATTGCTAGATCGGAGCCCACGGTGACCAGCCTTAACACTTTACAATTGGTTTTACAGTATATCCTTAAAAGAAAATAAAATAGTTCCACTCAACTGGAAAAATAATAAATAAAGAAAAATAATTAAAAACACTGAAACTAAACACAGCACTTTAGAACTCCTACCACTTGAGAACTCCTAACAACAACAAAAAAAAACACAATTTCCTCTATACATGAAATAATACAACAAAAAAAAATTTTTTACAACTTGTTTTGTTTTGACAGCCACAAAAAACATATTTCTCTGTTTTATATACAGCGGTGAGGGTACTACGAATCCGTAGGTCTATGTCCCGACTCTATCATTGGGAGCTTTAATTGTTCGATATGAACGGTTCTCCTCTTTCTGGGCTCATTCACGCTCTCAATAGTTACCAGGTTATGCTCCCTAATAACAACCACTCTGAATGGACCCTCGTACCGTAGCAATTGTTTCCCTCTGTTGGTTCCCAATTTCCGGTAAACTATTGTTCCTATTTTTAGTTCCCCCATTTGGTCGCGTACCTGTACATTCTGCCTTTCCACCCGCTTCCGCTTTTCCCGCTTAATTCTCGCCGTTATCTTTCCCCATGTTTTCTCTACCTCTACCCTATTGCTGAGAATTTGATCCACTAACGGTTCGGTAAGCGTAGTTTCCCCAT